TGAGCCATCTCCCCGCCCCTTTACTGATCTCTTTTTGAAGGAGAATATACTGCCATTCCACTATTTGTTCTTGAATTTTTAAATTTTTTTTTTTTTTTTGAGATGAGGTCTTTCTATGTATTTCAGGCTGACCTTGAACTCACAGCAATCCTACTTCAGTCTCCCAAATGGTGGGATTACAAGTATGTGCCAAAGTGCCTGGCTCAATTTTGATAATATAAGCAACCAAAATCTACAGTCATGATCTTAATGCCAGAGATAAAACTCCAGTGCCATATTAGAGATCTCAGGCTTTGGTGACTGCATCTTTTCTTTCAGTGGCATATTTGATGCCCTGAGCTGATTCCTAGGCTACCTGCCTGCTATGGACTCCCTGGCCCAGCTCTTGGCCTTTGGGGTCATCTGGGAAGGCTCTGTACATCACAGCAGACCTGAGATAGGACTTTTGTCTCCCTTTTATCCTGGCAACTTCTCCAGGATCTGCCTTGTGCCGCAACAGTCCTGGGTTTGCTGCCTCTGGGAAGATTCACTGCTGTAATTACCAAAGACAAAAGCAGGAAGTTTTGCAGAGTAGCAACAAAGATAAAATACAGAAGAGCAATTTTGTGTGGGACTGGATTTAGGCTTTTCCACAAGTCAATGACAAAAGAGACAAGCAAAGAAGGATTTCCTCCAGATTACATAAGACATGAGTCATAATAACAAAATGTACTCATGTAGGATGACTGTGTTGAGTTGTGATTTAAACAGACCAAGTGCAAAAAATAATGTTAGGTCAAGGGGATTAATCCAGAATACAGAGATCCCCTCTTATCTTTTTTTTTTTCCCCCCTCTTATCTTTGAGGCAGATGTTTCAAGACACGAATGAATGTCTACAAAGCAGATAGTCCTGAATCTGTATAGAAAGAAGGCAATACCTTGATTTGGAGCTCATCAATTACACAGTTAGGAAGTTACTAACAGGCAGGTGGTATGCGCATTGTGGATGCATTGGACAAAGATGCTGCTTGCCCAGTTCAGGCGAAATCAGAAAAAAAAAAAGAGATTTCATCACACTCCTAGGATGATGTTAAACTAAAAAATCAAAAAGTTTTTGTTTCTGGAATTCCTCACTTAATATTTTCAGACCAAGGTTGCTTGTGGGTAAATGAAACTGCTGAAGGGGAGATTGTAGTTCATCAAAAATACTGTGTAATGGTGCTGAGAAGATAGCTCAGCAGTCTAAGTGCCTGCCTAGCAGCTCAAGGACTCAGGTTCGCTCCTAGTGCCACATGTTGTGCTGGCCCTGAAACTAGGCATGGAAGTCCATGCTTGTAATCCCAGAACTGGGGAGGCTGACACAGGAGGATCACTACAAGTCTGAACTACATAGCGAGACCTTGTATCAAATAAATAAACAAATAAGTAAATAATTTTTAAAAGACTATGTAAAAAATCTTAATAAAAGACAATTTGATTCAAAAATGGGCAATTTGAATAGACATTCCTCCACAGATGTACACGTGGAAAATAGGTACATGAAAATATGCTCAATACCAATATCCAGAAAAATCTATCAGAACCACATCACATCCATTAGGATGGCTGCTATAAAAAAGTCAGAATACAACAAGTGTTGGTATACATACAGAGAAACTAGAATGGTGAGCAGCTGGGCGTGGTGGTGCATACTTGTAATCCTAGCTCTCTGAAGGCTGAGGAAGGAGGATCACTGTGTTTGATGTCAGTCTGGGCTACATAGTGAGTTTAAGGCCAGCCTGAACCACATATAAGACCCTGTTTCAAACAAACAAACACACATCACTGTGGAATGTTGGTAGGACAGAAAATTATATAGTTATTCTCGTAGTATATCACAAGTCCTAAAGAAATTAAGAACGAGATTGTCATATGATCTAGCAGTTCCACTAATAAGTATACATCCTAAAGAATTAAAAACAGGGACTTGAAGAGAGACATCTATACTTATGTTTATAGCAGCTTTATTCACAATGGCCAAAAAGGTGGAACCAATCCAGTGACTACTGACAGAGGAATGCATAAACAAAATGTGGTATATACACATAATGGATTATCATTCAGTGTTCGAGAGGAAGGACCTCCAGCATACACTGAAACATTAATTAACCTTATCCTAAGTTCAATAGGCCATTCACAAATGAACAAATGCTATCTTATTCTACTTACATGAGGTCTCTAGAATATTCAAATTCATAGAGACAAATGTAAAATGGTGACTGCCAGGGGCTGGGGAAGGGAAGAATGGGGAGCCGTTTTTCAATTCATATAAAATTTGTGTTATTCAAGATGAAAAGAGCTCTGAAGACTGGTTATACAGTAATACAAATATATGCAACTCTCTGAAGGTGTATGCTTAAAAGTGATTAATGTAGTTAATTTTATGTCATATGTATTTTGACACAACAGAAAAAGACATTCTGAGAATAATTGGAGAAATTTGGGTATTTGGTGATACCAAAGAATTATTATAGGTTTAATTATGACATTATCATAATGATTAGTGAGACCCTGTACCAAATACATAAATGGAAAAGAAAAAAAATCATAGTGGTTATACATTTTTAATAACTTCTACATCTGTCTAGACCAATTTCAAAGTATATTGATATGAAATGACTGATGTGTAGGACTTGTTTTTAAATATCTAAACAACTTATAAGAGAAAAATATAGGATATATGACATAATACATTTTCTCTCTCTCTCTCTCTCTCTCTCTCTCTCTCTCTCTCTCTCTCTCTCTCTCTGGGATTGAATTTAGAGCCTTTACTTTTTTTTTTTTTTTGTGGAGCCAGGGATTGAACTCAGGCCCTTGTGCTTGCCAGGCAAGCACTTATTCTACTGAGCTATCTCTCCAGCCCAAGAACCTTTACCTTGAGATACATTGCCAGCCTTTACATTTTTTTTTCTTTTCTTTTTTTATTTTGAGATAGAGTCTCATTAAGTCCCCTAGGCTAGGCTTGAACTTGGGATCTTCCTGGCATTACAGGAGTGTGTGATCATGCCTATTCTTTGAAGATCATCTTATTTCATTGGTCTAGGCCAAAGGTACAATGTGAAAGTAAGCTAAGTGTTATGAAAAAAGCCAAATTAAAGGCCATTAAAAGAACCAAGACACAAGGAATCTGATAATGCAAGTCAGAGAGTGTAGCCCTGGGCAGCAGATGTATGGGCTTGTGCTAAAGACAGTGAGTTCTACATGTTCTGCAAACAGTCTTCTGTAGGCCTGACATCTTGAGAGGAGGCCTCTAGTGGGTGGGCTCTAAAAGGTGATTTAATGGGAGGGTAGAAAGAAGGAGGAACAGAGGATTCAAGTAGTGAGGGATTAATATAAGTGGATGGGGTACTTGAGAGGCATTTTTGGGATGGAAAAGACAAGAGAGAGCTTCCAGGGCCCTAGAACTCAGCTGCAGCAGGGCTCTGGGCTGTGTCTGCTGGGAAGGATTGCTGGACCAGAGAGTGCAGAGTAGGTTTAGTGGTTATATGCAAAGTGGAACAAGGAAGTGGAAAAGCAGAGCTGCTAATTCTTCCTTCTAATTTCAGACAACTGCTCAAACCAAAATGAGAAAGGAAGTGACAGCTAACCAATAGGAGGGACTCTGTGGTCTCTAAATTTCCTCTTTTTTTCAGATCAAACCTCACAAATTCCATTCCAGTGACCCCTGTCGCAAGTATGCAGGCATCAGTTCAACCTGCCAGGACACAGCTCTGAGAGCCTGCACCAAGGCCAGTGAGGGCAGCCTTGCATCCTCTCTGCAGCAGTTAGGCTCCTCTGCTGGGGTATCTCTAAGTGGAGACCAACATGGGTCTAGAATGCCAGCCCCACTGACTTCAGGCTTACCTCTTTTCAGAGCAGCACTATTCAACAGAAATTCAATCTGAGTCATATGTGTTCTTCTAAATTTTGTAGTAGCAACTCTAAAAAGTAAAAAGAGGCATTAGGATTACAGCTTAGTGGCAGATTGTTTGCCTAGTTAAACAAGGGGTTGTGTTTTAATTCCCACGATTGCATGTGAAATAAAAAGTAACCCGAAAAGGAAGTGAAATGAATTGTAATAATATATGTTAGCCCAATGTGTCTAAATTATCACTTCAATATATAATATGTAAAAACTATTGCTGAAATTTTTACATTTTTTCATAGTAAGCCTTAAAATCCAGTGTGCAGTTGTGCTTACAGCACATCTCAATTTGGAGCAGTCACATTGCAAATGGCTAGTGGCTACCTAGTTAGATTGAGCTGCTATGGAGTCCTGCTCTCTGCAGTGTGGTCCCTGTGGAGTAGCAATAATGTCAATTATTTGATATAATGACTCTCAGGCCTTACTCAGATTCTGCACTTTAGCAGGCTCCTTTGGGATCCACAGGTATGGAAATTTAAGAGCTCTGCACCACACTTTTGGGAAGAACTATAGAGTTGTGGTGTTTTGC